CATTCTTCTCCACTTGGACTCTGCACCAACAGAGGTGGCAGCTAAGAGGCTGAAAATACCAGCAAGGGGTTTTGCCAGTGGTCAGCTTGGTTTACAGGCTCAGGAGGTTCCTGTTTTATGAATGTTTTAATGGGGGTACTGGACTGGCCATTCGTAAGGACTGGAACCACTAGGGGACCTTGTACTTTACTGGTGACTTTGTCCAGATAAAGTCAGGAGTCTATATTTTCAGACATATATTTCCTGACCATGAAAGTAATTAGATCCTAGAATAGGACCCCAAGGAAACAAACTGGACAGTTTTGCTTTGGTCTGCACTCTGAAAAGTAAGATGGAGAAGATTTTAAGGTATTTTCCTTTTGAGTTTAGGAAAAAGTTTTTCTTAATCTCTGTTGATTTTGTGCCTCTTTTCTCAACATATTCTAAAGGTAATAATAGGTAATGGTGTATTTATAAGCATAGGTATTAAATGTAGGGTTTAATAGACCCTTCGCTCTTAGATATGTTAAACCCAGTAAAAATGAAGCCAAATAAGTAGAACATATTTAAAATGGGACCACTCTAAATGAAAATGAACTATGGCATGCATTTGAAAGATGGTTTATTTGAAAAATATTCTCTAGGGTGCTTCTATCAAAACTTAAGTAGACTCACCCTCCTCATCCCCTCCTTTTGTGATGAAGAATTAGAAAACCTATTCTTAGAAATCTTTCCTGGTTTCCCTTTTTTTTTCTTCTTGGGATGGAAAAGAAAAACCTCAGATCCGGCTGCTAAAATGTATTCATTTTTGCAATCATTTTGCACTTATTTTCATTTCTAACTAGTGTTCACCACTTCTGGTCCTGCCTTCTTCTCCCTTCATCATCTTTCTCTCATATTGCTCCCGGTGGTTTCCACTCCTCTGGTTATGTGTGTAACAACTTTACTTGCCACTTTCACTACTGTTTAGTCCTGGGTCCCAGTGTCTTTTTGACAATTTTGGATTAGCCTTTTAATCTTTTCTTCTCTTTGCTCTTTGTTGACTCATTGCCATTGTGAGTTAGTGAAAGTGTAATTCTTCTGCACGTGATAGATCCCAGCGGCCACCGTTAAAACTTTCAGCATCTGGAATTCTGTCTTTGACTTGTGAGCAGTAAGGTATTAAAGATTATGCTTTCCATGCAGAAAAGTAACAGCAGGGCTCCTGTGGTTATTAAAAATTATATCTTTCATTTCCTGAGAGTACCAGTGTTTAACTGCCTTGGCAATATTCAAACTTTCCAGCAGTAGTAACTGGAAACGCCCAGCAGTGGTATACTTCTGAGAAATATGGAAGCACTAAAGCTGTGATTTTGATGATGGGTGGCAATTACAAGCTGTTTTTGGTCTACTTTTTCGAGGAAAGTCTAGGAAAGATTCCTTCAGTACCATGAATAGCCTAGCAGTGATGGATCCCAATGGGGTAGTGAGTCTTTTTGAAAGATGGCATTCCATAAAGTTCTGCTGAGGATTTGTGGGTGACTTTCAAAGTAAAATGCTGCTTTATCACATCTTCGCTGCTGCTGAGTTTAGCTGTGTGTCGCTCATGCCAACCTTGTTATTGTAAATGTAAATATATTATGTAATTTAGGTCAACTTTCTTGGTTAAAAAAATACTATGCAAATTCTTATAAAAATTAATGTCACCACCTCTGAAACAGCAGGCTCTTTTTGCACCTAAGACCCTGCTCCCATGAAAAAGAGAAATTATTTTCTGTCGAATTAGATGATGATTTTGAAGTTTCCTATTAAAAATGAATACTTAAAAAATTCAAGCTTACTGATTACAAATATTATGCCCATGGTTGACACCTCATTTAGAATATAGCTGGATGTAGATGAAAATTTTTATGCTAAATAAGTCACTAACAAATCAAATCCAGGAGTAAATTAAATGATAAACCATGATCAGTTCAAGTTATTCAAAGAATGAAAGGATGACATTATATTAGGAAAAGTACTGACTCCCTCACATTGCTCACTAGGCCTGTTTCTTCCCCCTCCCAGGCACACACCTGGACCACATTTCTCAACCTCCCCTGCAGTTAGGTCTGGATCTGGGCCTGAGTTCTGTCAAATGGAATGTAGCTGGAAGTGATGTGAGCCAATTCCTTCTTGACTCTTTTTTTTTTTTTCAGTTCAGTTCTCTCTCTCTCTCTCTCTCTCTCTCTCTCTCTCTCTCTCTCTCTCTCTCTGCCTCCACCTGCTGGCTGGGCACAGAGAAGCCTGCGGAAGAATCTGAAGCCCTAACAGACGGCAGGGTCACAAGGTGGAAGTGGTGAGTCCTCGAATCATCACTTGGAAGGCCACCTCAAGAACACCCGCATCTGCTGCGTGAGTGATTACACTTTCTTAAGCTACTAAGATTTTGAGGGCAGTCTGCTCCAGGCGTTAGCCCGCCTTGACTAACACTGAGAGAAAAAAGGCATTTGATAAAATTCAACACCTACTGCTACTTTTTAAAAAAATTTGTTAAATAGAACAGAATTCTTTATTAACTTATTAAAAATATCTATCTTATATCACATGCCAACATTGTTCTTAATTATGGAGTGCTATAGGCATTGTCATTAGAATAAACAAGACAAGAACACCTGCTGCTACCACTAATAATTACTGGCTTCAAGCTCTAGCTAATAGACAAGAAACGAAATTATCATTTGAGATAAAAAGATCATCCACCTAGAGAATCCAGGAAGAATCAACTACAAAATTATTAGGGACTAAGGGACTTTAATAAAGTCATGTTACAAAATAAATATTAATACTATATTTTCTACATGACCTTAAAAAAGTAAATTATGTATCTTCCAATATATGTAAGAGTCATTAAAAACAGGACGATAGTATTTAAAAAGAACAGAGATAAAAATGATCTGTGAAATTAAAAAGTGATAGTCCAAATAAAAATTCAGTAGAAATTTAGAAGATAAGTTTGAGAAATTTTCTTAGAAAGAGAACAAAAATTCAGAGATGAACACAAGAAGAAAACATCTGATGAAAAGAAATTCCAGTGAAAAAAAGCAAGCAGAAGGGAGGAACTTGTCACATACATAATGAAAGAACATCCCACGGAGTTGAATGACTAAACGACCACCTATGCTTTATTCAGATTTCATTAGTTTTTATCTAATGTAATTTTTCTTTTCTGGGACACCATGTTACATTTAGTTATCATGTCTCCTTAGGCTCCTCTTGGCGGTAACTGTTTCTCAGACTTTGTTTTTGATGATCTTGATAGTTTTGAGAAGACAGGTCACGCATTTTGTAAAATGTCCATCTGTTGAGATTTGTGTGACTGGACAAGTCATGACTAGACTTAAGTTATAGATTTTGGGGAGGAAGATCACAGAGGTCAAGTGTCATTTTCAGCACATCATATGAAGGAAACATACTCGCAACATGACTTATCATGTGATGTTGACCTTCACCTGGCAGGCATAGCGTTTAAGTTTCTCCACTGTAACAGTTACTCTTTCCCCAGCCTGTTCCATGCTGTATTCTTTGGGAGGATGTCACTATGTGCTGTCCAGACTGAAGGATGGAGAGTTTCACACTCTGCCTCAAGGGTGGCCTATCTGTCTATCTATCTAGTCAGTTGGATAAATATCTAGGAGTGTGATTGCTAGATCATACGGTAAGACCACATTTAGCTGTGTAAGAAAACACCCAACTGTATTCAAAGTGGCTGTACCATTTTGCATTCCCATCAACAATGAATGAGTTTCTGTTGCTCTAAATCCTCACCAGAAATTGATATTGTAGGCTTCTTGGAGTTTAACCATTCTAACAGGTGTGGAGAGATATCTCATTATTGTTTTCCTTGTTGATCTGTTTAAGTTACATGAGTTTAATAAATCTATGCTTGGTATTTCAGGCATTCTCTGGATCTTCTTCTCTGGTCTGATGCTTGTGCTGATTCTTGTTCACGTATTGTCTTTTTGCATACCTGATTATGTTTGATTATATGATAGAACACTGCATTTGAAAAAGTATTCATAGAGTATGTAAAATGACATTTTCTTCCTCCAGAGATTTTCATTTGCTTCTGCCTGGTGCCAGAACTACCTTATTCTAATTCCAGTGTTAAGAGACTTTTCTAGTCCATCCAGATAACAAAGCAGGGTTGCTTTCCTTGCAGTTCATCTTACTCCTAGGATACATCCCTCTGAGGTCACAGTTCTTAGTGTGATGTGCCTGACTGCCTTCACCTTGTCTTCCAGAACTTGAGGCCGTGAATAGCATGGTTCAACGTCTCAGCCAGCTTTTCCAAATCATCAAATACTCCCTGGTCAAAAGAAGCTCCAAATGCTGGGCTTGGCAGTGTGGATTTCTCTTCTCCCAGATCTTAACGGGGCAATTTCACATGATCGTATTAGGTTGTTCTAATATTCTGAGGATGATTTTTTAAAATTTCCCACTGTCAGGGGGAAAAGCAGGGTCCTGGGTTCCTTTTGCTTCACCCAATATCCCAGGTCTCCAATTGGCTTTAAAAAGTGATGGCAAATATAGCTTTATAATTTATACTTTGGGAAGAAATTGTGACAAAGGAAAAATAACACAAGTCTCATCTTCTCCTTCTCCAGTTAAAAAGAAGCTTCTGGCTTATTAGTCATGGAGCTACTGATCTGAAAAATTATACCACTTCCTGGGCCAGGACCACTGTGTGTAACCACAGAATACTCTACAATCTTGTACACATAAAAAAAATTTATTACTGAAAAGATCACACAAAACAAAATTTTTGTATACAAAGTTTAACAATGTGGAAAAGTTCATATTTACAATGTTTTTCATACAGTACATGATGATTTTCCTTTTATGCTTTAACAGAATGCTAAGTAGGGAAAAAACCAAAAGCATAAGAAAACCTTGTTCAAGGAATAATATTCACTGGAAACAAAACTAAGAAAATTCTTTAATGTTTCAAAGTATGTTTATGAAATACATTTTATTCTGTTTATCAGGACTGTATTTTTTTCCCCATTTGCTTGGCACTAACACTGCTCATGCACTTTTGAATGTTCATCAAAATCCTATTTATGAAATGAATTCTACAGAAATGAATTCTACACGATGTCAGAGAAAGATACTGCAGAAATGCAAAGAGTCTGTAGTGTTCCAAATGTTAACCACCAACAGCTAAAACAAAACTATAAGCAATGTAAATAGTTGTACGAATGCAATCTTGGGTGGTCATGCTATATTAAAAAAAGGAAATTAATTGCACTTGGCTTAATTTATAAAAGAGTAACATTTCATCTACTAATCCTTCAGGACATTTTATTTAAAAAATCAGAAGGATCCACAAGCAGCACAATATCATCAACATCAGACACTCAGTAAGGACCTTATTTCAGTTGCATAATAGATCAGCGAAATTCCTAAAACACTAGACTTCATTAAATTCACACATTGAAGATGATAAGGTAGAGTAAGTGGATTTTTTTTTACATGAATTGCCATTATAATGCCTTTTGGTGTATCAACTATTTTTTGTACTTTAAAAGAATACTATTTTTCAATTTTCATAGAGATTCAGTGTAAAAGCTACCAAAATAGTGCTAAAGTAAGGTATTGCAATAACATAATAAAAATACTCGAATAGACATTCCAGGATTTCTAAAAAAAAGTTCAAATGTATATAAACTTTTCAAATACATAACAAAGATAAAAGATAAGTTTTAAATACTTCAGCAAAGAAAAATCTTGATTTTTTATACCATAAAAGTGAAATAGCATAGTACATAAGATCTTAAAATACTTTTAACAAGAGTAGAATCTTCATAAATAGAAAAGGAAGATTCCTCTAATATTCCCGCCTTCCACACAACTTAAAAAATATTATTAACCTGCACATTTCTGTTCTTTGGGTCCAGTGTTGTCATTAACCTTCACGTGAAATGAATCATATTCTCAGAATCTATTGTTCCAGTGTAACAGTAGGTAAACGTGGCTTTAAATGCAAAAGAAGAATGTAACAGTGATTCTTATAAGACAGTGTACTTACTGTCACCTCCAGTGTAACCCGAATCCGCTTCTTAGTAACGCGATAACCTGGTTTTCAGGTATCTGAGTGACGGCCAGTGCCCTGCTCTTTTCTAACTCCTGAAGCTGAGTGAACAAGCAGTGACGTGGAGCCTTTGAGGCTGCCCGGCTCTGAAGGGCTGGGGACCTGCAAGCTGTTGCTCTGTACCGGGCCAGTTTCCAAGACATCACTCTTCGGAGTTAGCCTAGGTAAAAGAACAAAAGCTGAGCGACATATACACCAAAGCACAAATATGACACCAGACGTCCTTGTAACTGCTATTCTCTTTCCATGAGTTTTACTCCCAACCAGTAGCCACCTTTATCAGAAAATAATTAACAGAAACTCTTTAGGTATACACTAACATCTCAAACTACAAATAATTTATTTCCAAATACAATTTTTGCTAACTTTAGAAACTTCATCAAGCACCACCCATGTATGGGCTGAGCATGGTCTCTCGTGGGGAGTAAGACAGGATTCCTGCTCTCAGTTTAACAAATCTTTTATTGATTTCCCACCATGGATCAGACACTGTCTGTATAAGAGGTTGGAAACACAAAGATGAGAATGACGTCAGCTTTGCCTTTGAGGAGTTTTAAAAATCTGGTGGAGGATAAAGGCATGTATCTAATCATACATAATCCAGTATGCAAAAGCTGCTGGAGGAACACAGAGAAGGTACATTTGGCCTAGCTCGGGAGGGTAGGTAAGACAAGCTTGAGACCTTAGTGTAGTTAATGGTCAACATTCTGGCTAATTTGATGTTTACCTGAGTGTGGCTCACCCAAGACCATTCGGAAAAATTCATTTAAAATGATGTCAATATCCTTTCATGTTCAGAAAATAAAATCATCTTCATATAAAATGACAAGTACCTTTTAGTACTATAATGTGGTACTCATTGAAACTTACTAGCCTGTATTTCACATGAATCTCAAACATTTACCTAAATATACATGCAACTTTTAACAATTACCATAGAAATGAACATTACTTGTCTATTTGAACAATATACATTAAAGGCTCTTCTCAAAGCTAAGATTTAAACTAGGAAACAGCATTTATAGGCTGAACCCAAACTTCTTAAATCCAAACTTGCCTGGATTAAGTAAACAGACATGTCACCTCAAAGAATGCTTTTTTTCCAGATATGTTATGCTCTAATTAAAAATGTATAACGCAGGATTCAAAACAGTCACGACCGCAGGTAACAAAGTCACAGCTCACCTTCCCTCACTCCGCGCGCTTCCAGACACACTGCTCTGATCACTCACGTTGCCTGCCCGGCCCTTCCTGTCGGTCTGCTCCCCACACGGTCTGCAGCTGGATGCTGCAGGGGAGGCAGGTTCCTCA